TAGACCAACCTATCCCACAGGACTGTTATTTTGAGGATAGAAATTAGGAAACCCATACCATATACTCCTCCTGATTCTTGAAGAGTTGAATCTGATGAATGCTACAATAAGAGGTTTGAAGGATATTTAAAATACTTGAGTAGGGCACAATATGGTTAACCAGGAGATTTGTAAGAAGACATCAGGCACAAATGAAACTGCTCCTGTGCTAAATTAAACTATTGATCAACATCCATTCAAATTCCTTGGTTCATATGTATTCTACTTGGCCCCTGTAACTTCAAGTGTGCTTCATGGGATTGGAATGATCCTCAAATGGATTTGAAAAGAACTCAGGACAAGGGTACACACATTGGTGGGATTCAAATATGTGAACAACCAGTTCTCTGTGTGGATGCCACTTCCGGAAGTCCATTCTGGGCCTGGGCAACAAAAAATTAGCTACCGGTTCTGCCGAACTGGTGCAAACTGGCTGAATTCCACCACTGGGTACACATCTTAACTTGGCTTTTTATACACTTTCTCTTTACATATATTCCATCTATAGAGTTTCCATATCTTGCAAACTGTGAGAAATAATCTGATTTTCAGGCAAGAGTGTACCTTCTTCCGTTGTGGCTTTCTTCCTGTGGATTTAGTAATATCATAGTAATGTCATAATAAGCTTATATTTAAAGATGCTTTTCAAAACTGCAGTCTTCATAAAGTGGCCTAGCTGATCCAGAGGCTATTATGACGCACTTCAAAAATATTGTGTCCCTAAATTCTCTTCTGAAAACAAATACACAAAAGAATAAGCCAAAGAAAGGAATGTACTGTGCATGAATTAGACCTTGAGGGAGTCTTACTTTATGTAATGTCATTCCTTTCCTCTGCGGTTCCTTAAAAGCATTTTCATATGTCAGGGTTTTATAAAATTGCTTTTAGTAAAACAAGTTATTTTTATAATCCTTTTCAGGACATAAAGCCTAGGGTGCTTCAAGTGCCTTTGGGATACCCTTCAAAAAACTCATTTTAAAAAGCAAATGACTAGAATACCTGATCTGTGACATATTTTAATTAGTTTCTGTCTTAAGAATGACCTGAAAGTGTCAGCACAGAATAGCATCTCTTAACATCATGCTTGTGTGAACTAGTATTGTAAGAAGCATTACATGATTTTTTGACTATGTTTTAGTTGTTGACCTACTTTATCTCTCATTTGGGTTTTTGTTTGTGTTTTTGCTATTGAATGGTTTTCAAGCTTGAATATGGCATTTGTCCAAAGGCAGGCAAAGAAAATGGGAAAATGGACTTTTCCCAGGAATGGAAGTTAAATTAATCTATAGTTTGTCTGTCTTAACATGATAATGGAGGAAGCTCTGGAAAGCTAATTAGATTAGAATTCAATTAGATGTGATTCAGAACATTATCACTCACAGATCCATTTATCTGAAAGCCCTAAAAGATGAGGAGTGACTCTAAGGATGTTTTATTAAGGAATTTAAATAGAGGCTATGAATGTTTCAAAGAAGAAATCATAAAATGCAATTTTTTTAACATTCCATAGAGATAGGATCTACTATTAGTAGCTGTCTTTATGAGCAAAATTTTATTTCTGTTTGGACAGCTTTTCTGCATGTATATTCCATCTAAGTCAGTGGTTCTCAACCTGTGGGTCGGGACCCCATTTGGAGTCGATCGACCATTTCATGGGGGTCGCCAAGCAAGGCTGTCCGCCATTTTTTTGTCCGCCATTTTTCCCCCCTTTTTTGGCGGGTGCCTTACCTCCCTTGGGCTGGGCCAGCTGGTGGTCGGCCTGCTCCGTCTCTGCCGCTTGCCAGCTACACCTCGGCCGGCGCAGGGGGCGGGACCACGCATGCGCGGCGCTCCCAGGCAGGGAAAGTCCTCGACTTACGACCGGTTTAGTCCTCGACTTACGACCGGTTTAGTCCTCGACTTACGACCGGTTTAGTCCTCGACTTACGACCAGTTGGGGTCGCGGCATTAAAAAGGTTGAGAACCACTGATCTAAGTGAAAGCAAAGCTTCCTGTTTCCTGTTCTTAAGTCCTGTAAAACAAAGATGAACACTGAAGTTACAGCTGAGTGTTGAGTAAGGCCCTCAAGTCTGACATTCAAAGACTTCATGCATATACAGTATACATATTTCCTAGAGTAATCATTACTGAATGTAAAATGCATAGTACTGTCCTGCAGGTCTCAATTCATAGATTATTCAGGGAAATTGAAAGATGTTGTATTAGTCAGAACACCTTGGGGGAAAAAACCCTGAAATCAAAGGTATAGCTTTGGGGAAAACAGTATTAAAGTGGAGGCCTAAATGGTGCAGAGTTGAATTGCTGCCTGCTTTCTCTGGTACATATATTATCTTCAGTACTGTTATCACTGTAAGAGATCAGGGAAATGGGAGAACAAGCAAATAATTGTGAAAGAAAATTATGTTTAGTACACATTTGAATTTAATTGACCAAGTTCAGTCTTATTCGTCTTACAGGTAGTCCTCAACTTACAATCATTCTTTTAATGACAGTTCAAAGTTATAACACTGAAAAAAAGTGACTAATGACAGTTCAGCAACAGAAAATTTGGACTTAATTGTGATCATAAGTCAAGGAATACCTGTATTAAACTTTTACTGTATAGTTTTTCCTTTTCTACAGAATCACTCACAAACTGCTAGATCCACACACAACATTGCAGTTAGTTGTTTACTTTGAAGATATCCTTCAAAATCTCATCCAAAATATCCTTTTCTTTGAAGTAGATTTAAGCTTAGGGTAGGATAGGCTACCAGACTTTCCTTACATTGGGCTAGAATATTCCTTGGAAAGGGCTATAATCTGGTTGCAATATGTATACTTGTGGTGTCCTACAAGTGTGTAGGAAGCAGGACTGCCTGCTCTGTTTCATATATATTTTGATAAGTGATTAATGATGAACTTAACTAAACATAGGTAACATGTTCCATCCTGTACCATGATGATAAGGGTGGTGAAGCATTCCATCATCAGACTGTTGTCCAGATGTCCGATTTAAAGTTACTAATATCTTGTTGCAGAGGGAATAAAGAGCATTTATTGTCTGGCTGTTTTAAGTTTGCTCAAATTCTCACCAGAATCTTGATTCCACATCCGTGGGATTTGAAATGGTGACTGGACAACATCTTATGTTACTTGGAATTTATTAGATTTGATGAAACAAATATAAGGCTTTGTGGCATGAGCTCGGCCATCTGTAGATCCATGCCCTTCCTGGCTCTTTCAGATGGATCTGTGATGACTCGATGCCACTAGCTTGACGTGGCCAGCAGGAGGAGGCCTTCTCACCACAGCTGAGTCCTCACTGCCTACTCGCTGCTGCCATCTCTTTCCAGGACATCTCAACACCGTAAATTTGCTGTGAGGATAACTCACTGCAGATCCTGGCTGGAAAGCCGGGAGGGCGGGCGAGCGAGCAAGCAGGCTGCAAGGAGATGGCAGCAGCGAGTTGGCAGCAAGGACTTGGCAGTAGTAAGTAGGCCGCCCCTTGTGGCTGCGTCGAGCCAGTGGCATCAAGTACTCCCATTCCGGTTCCAGATAGCCAGAGCAGGAGAGAAGAGATGAGTACAGGAGATTCATAACTGTTCTTTGGTGGATGAGGTTATCCCAGTTGCCTATAACAAGACATTAATGTGCCCCCTTCTGAAGGGGACTCCCCTGGACCCCAAAATCTGGGTAATTATTGTCTAGTCTCCAATATTACTATTCCAATTAAGGCGGTTGAAAAAGAAGCTGCTTGAGAAGGATCTTATTGGTATCCATTTTAATTGGTTAAGTATATGCCAGACTAGGAATTGGATTGAGACAACATTAATCACTCTAGTAGAAAAGCTTTGTCACAACCTGGATGACAGGAATGCATTTAATCCTCTCCGTGATCTTTGGTGTCATTGACAATGTAATTTTGCTAGCCTGGGTGGTTTGAGGATTGGTGCCACTATTTCACAATGATTTTCCTCCTTCTAAGTTAGTTACAATCGGTGGTAGTTAGTAGTTACAATCAGTGGTAGTGGAGGAGAAAAGTTGGTTCTGCAGGTGTTTGATTCTCTCTCTCCTGCTGCCCAGCATCCCTGTGAGGCTGCTGGAGAAGTTATCCATCAGTCTGTGGGGAGGTACTACCAGAATGCTGTTGAGGTCTCTGTTAGTGCCTGGAGGCTTTGAGGGGCTGGATACGATGAAAAACGTTGGGGCTGTATCCAAACAAGAAGGATTTACTGTTTGCCCAGAGATCATCTGTTTCCTTATCTACTTTGTTGGTTACTCTAGGTAGGATAGCACTTGCCTTACAAGGACAGGTCCATCACTTAGTTTTTCTCACAGCTTTCTCATAGTTTTATGATAACTGCTTGATGGGCAGATGGGTAAGGTATGCAAGATGGTTTTTGGTCTAACTGGCTAGTGCACCATATTGGCCCTAAGGACCTGGAGATGGTCTCTCATGATCTGCTCACTACTATTTCTATAGATATTTTTATATCTATATTGTATAGATATAAAGAACTGTTACTGCTAAGCTACACCAATATTTCTGGCTTTGTTCTAGTTGCCAGTAAGCCTCTGGGTATAATTCAGAGTCTTGGGTTTAACTCTTAAAGCCCTAAGTGTGTTGGCTCCTAGAGGTACTGCCAAGACCATTTTCTCCTAGGTAAAATTGACCCATCACATATACTCATTCCATGTTACAATATTGTAGGTCTCCACTCCACATGAAATAAATTCACCAGTGGCCTGGGAATAAGTATTTTTGATGATGCCCTTCCCCTCTGAAATAGCCTGTTCCCCAAAACATTAAATCAGTGACATTGCAGAAGGTGGTCATATTATTCTGAACAGTTAAAAGTTCATATTGAGTTTTTAACCTTTTTTATTCTTTTTAGTCTTATAAACAGTCTTCAGGTTCTAGTTGCATAGAAATGTGAGAAATAAATACGTTTGAATACTCTTTTTTCCCATTTTCATAGGTACAGCCTCAGAACACACAAGGAGTGCTTTCTGTGAAGAATTTTGGCTACATTAGTTCAGGAATCTTTATGAAGCATTTAACATTAAAGCATGGCAGAAAATAAAGAAAGGAAACCTAAAAATGCAGACGTGAGACCCAAAACCAGCCGGAGCAGGAGTGCAGACAGAAAGGATGGATACGTATGGAGTGGAAAGAAGCTTTCCTGGACAAAAAAGAATGAGAACAGTTCTAATGCTGAGATGGCAAATGCCTCAGGAAAACCTACATTAAGTCTAAGGAATCAGGAGAGAAAACAGAGCTGTTTCTCAACTGAGATGGAATTGGAGCATGTATGTGGTCACAGGTTCCTAGGCCGTTCTTTTAAACAGAAACTGCAGGATGCGATGGGACAATGTTTCCCCATAAAGAGTTGTAGCACTCGGCATTCTTCAGGGCTTTCACCAAAGAGAAAAATACATATCAGTGAGCTTATGCTGGACAAATGCCCTTTTCCACCACGATCTGAGCTAGCATTTCGATGGCATTTAATCAAGCGGCACACTGCCCCTGTCAAACAAATATCTGAAAGCTGGCTAAGTGTGGGTTCATCAAAAGGTGAAAGGAAAGATGAAGAACTGAACGAGATTGAGAGGGCAGGTGAACCAGACTCCGCTGTATTGCAGGAAAATAATGCTATTGATAATGCTTCCTATCCATGTGATCCTCAAGAGGAATCTGCCATGGGTAAGCAGCTAAAGATCAGCAGAGAGGAAAGTGACATGGACTCTGATGATGAAGTAGTGACACTCTGCACTAGCTCCAGGAAGAGAAACAAACCACGGTGGGAAACAGAGGATGACCTGCTGCAGCTGCAGATGCCACTCAGATATCACACCCAGATTGATTATGTTCATTGTCTTGTTCCTGACCTCCTTCAGATCAATAATAACCCATGTTACTGGGGAGTGATGGATAAATACGCTGCAGAAGCACTTTTAGATGGAAAGCCAGAGGGGACTTTTTTATTACGCGATTCTGCCCAGGAGGATTACTTGTTTTCCGTTAGTTTCAGGCGTTATAGTCGTTCTCTTCATGCCAGGATTGAACAATGGAATCACAACTTCAGCTTTGATGCTCACGATCCATGTGTCTTCCATTCCCCTGACATTACTGGACTTTTAGAACATTATAAAGATCCAAGCTCTTGTATGTTCTTTGAGCCACTTCTCTCGACTCCCTTACACAGAACTTTCCCTTTTTCCCTTCAACATCTATGCAGGACAGCTATTTGTAACACTACAACTTACGATGGCATAAATGCCCTTCCTGTTCCTCCATCTGTAAAGCTGTATTTGAAAGAATATCATTATAAATCAAAAGTAAGAGTCCTCAGGATTGATGTACCAGATCAACATGCCTAGAAGGGCATTCTGGAAGTTTTTTTATAATTATTCTGGGAGATTTTGTTTCTATTTCTCTTATTAACAAAATTTTCATGCAAAAATATCTACCCACCATATTTAACTTTGCCTGAGCCTTATGTCCAAATATATTTTTATTTCCTGCCCCAATGAACAGGTTTCTGTAAAAACGCAAAACTGATACTAACGTTCTATAAAGCTTTATGGAATTTCAAGGAAGCTATTTTAAAGTTTTTACTCAAGCATAACTTTTTAGATATGAACCTAAGTCAAGGTTCAAATTTGACTTGCTTTTTATAAACTAATTTATATGCACTACAGGCATGTTTGAAAAACTGAATATAGTAGTTCTTCCAGAATTACCAATTTGTAGGGTTTTTTAAATCATTCTGTCCTTGCTATAAAAGTAAAATTAATAAGATTGTGATGCTCCTACCATTCTGAATACTTATTGTTTTAAATTTCATATAGGTTGCTTATATTTTGAGATTAAATGTCCCAATCATATGCTATGTGTCAGAACATGATTTGGAGTTGTTATCATTTTTAATAAATGTTGAATATATATGTCTAATTTTCTGGACATCTATTAAGAATCAAACTATTGCAGATGTTCTTAAAAGATTTTGATATATTAGTACAGGCTTTAAAAAGAACTGTGTTGAAGCACACATAGATGCCTGTTTCACAAACTAATAATCATAAATGTTAAACGAAATGTATGAAAATAGTCTGATGGGTGTTTATCTAACTACCTCAAATCGTTACTCATATTACACTCTGTGTCAGTGGGGCCTTGGATCTTTTTTTCTGTCTGCTGACTGTCCTTTGGTGCTATTTGTGTGTTTGTTTTTGGATTTAATTATTACATAGGCAATTTCTAAGGGCAACTATAGTTAGGGAAGAAATGGTTAACTATCCACGTTCCTCTTCATTAAAACATATCCCTTGGAGCAGGGATGTCAAACTGCCGGCCCGTGGGTCAGTTTCATCATACCAAAGCCACGCCCACCCCATTGCCGGCAATGCAAAAAGGGTTGCGATACATAGCGTCACGTCATGTGACGTGGCGAGTTTGACACTTGGGCCTTGCAATATCCAATTCTCTGTGTGGCATTTAGAATGAAGAAAAAAAATTTCACAGAGGCCAGTAGAAGTATAGAGAATCTATACCATCAATCAATCAGAATAGGGCTGGAAGGGACCTTGGAGGTCTTCTAGTCCAATCTGCTGCTCAAGCAGGAGACCCTAAACCATTTCAGACAAGTGGCTGTCCAGTCTTTTCTTAAAAATCTCCTTCTGTACTTATATACTCAGTATAAATATGTATAAGAATATATACTTGTACTGGGAATCTCCACAGACATAAAATGCAGATGTGGAGGAGAAGATGGTGCAGTATGAACTTTACTTTAATGGCAATTATTATTATAAAAATTGTACAAAAAGGAAAAAGCAGATTTATAGTTCATTATCAAGTGAGGTACTGTGAGCCTAGAAAGATTTTCCAAGGTAATGTACTTTGGGAAGGGAAGCCTTAAGATAAATAAAATGGTTTTTTTTAAAAAAAGAATAACACTTCTCTGACATATGGATGTTATTCAAAGTAAATCTCATGAATGAACCCATGTCCTTACATTGTTATGCTTCTGAAACTGCTCCCCAAATTTCTGAAAACAAGAAGGTGGCAAAAATTATTCTTCTAAATCTGTCTCATACCCCAAAAATCATACATTCATGCCTAGCACTCCAAAGCTAAGAGTTATTCTTGTCAGGCTTGAAAATAAGAGAAGGGAGAAAAGACCCAGGGAGATCCCGCTAAGAGATGGATAAAAAGCTGCCCTTGGAATTTGTACATTTTCAACACCAGTTCATGTTTTCATTGCTCCATAAGCTTTTGGGGGGGGGAAATGATGCTTGAAAGATATACAACAACCTAGGACAGTGGTGGCGAACCTATGGCACTAGTGCCAGAGGCGGCACTCGGAGCCCTCTGTGTGGGCACACGTGCCCTTGCCCCAGCTTTGCCTCCCCCCCACGACCCCCTCCTCTCCAGCAGCCCCCCTGAAGGAGAATCGCCCTGGAGCGTGGCCCACATGGAGCAGCGCAGCCAAGGACATGGCAGCCAGGCAGCGTAGACAAGACTCTGCCCTCACACCCCATCATGCAGTTAATGCTGCAGAGCGTAGGCAGAGGGTGTGGCCACCATAGCGCTGCTGGGCTGCCTGGGCGATCGGCGGGCCCTGGAGGCGGTGAGTGGTCCTGTGGGCAGGCGGGGCGAGGGATGGGGGGCAGGCAGGGGGGTGGAGCGGGGCCGGGGCCAGTTTTTGGGCACTCAGTCTCTAAAAGGTTCGCCATCACTGACCTAGGAAGCTAAGCCTGGGTGTATGGAGTGCCATAAAAATATTGTTCACACCTAGCGGCCGCATAGATTTTCTCTTCGATGATCTATCCCAGGGGTAGGCAACCTTGGCTCTTTTATGACTCGTGGGCTTCAACTCCCAGAATTCCTGAGCCAGCCATGCTGGCTCAGGAATTCTGGGAATTGAAGTCCACAAGTCATAAAAGAGCCAAGGTTGCCTACCCCTGGTCTTTCAGGTCTTCCAACCTGTTGCCACTGTAACTTGAGTCCATCCACCTTCCTTTTTTACAGTTGTAGTATAGGGTCCAAAGTATGTAATAGTTCCCCAAACCCCTTTTGATACAGTGTTCAAGAATGAACATTGATTGCAGGTGAAAGAATGCCCTTTGTTTTTTAAACTTGGTATTCCCATATGTAAATTGCTACCTACTGAATACAGATTTGTGTCCATGTGTCTGGGCCACAATCTTTTTAATACCTTGCAGCACTCTGCTTGTTTCCTTACCTTATCCCTAAGTAAAGCAGTTCCCCTTATGCACACTCAGGCACACAACTTACCTACTTTTCAAATTGTTGCCATTCTTTTCTTTTGATGCCACTCCAGTGTTTATCAAGCACATATTTTGGTTACTCCTGTCATGCGAGAGAGTGATGTTATTGCAGTTGATCACAATCATCAAGAATGGAGAGAAGAGTGTCCTTAAAATAAAGGTTAGAACAATATTACCCTCCCCTTTCAGACATCAATCTCTTGAAAAAAAGTAAATAATGAACTAGATATATACAATTTATCCACATTCTCAAGGACAGCACTTTGTCCCCTAAGGATTAAAACTTCCACAGTTTTAAAACTCAAGGCTACAAATATCTGGTTCTATTTTAGCAATAATCTCCTTTTATTTCATTTAGAAACTGAATTATTCTTGATTTCTTAACCAGTTTCTATTTCTTTTTTGTTTTGGCCCCATATTGGTCTTAGATCTTGTGCTTCCTTAATTATTTGAACAGCGATTCTTCAGACAACGTTGCAAAGCATGTCTTTGGAAGAATTTGCAAAGCCCTACAAATAGCACTAATGTTTAAAAAGTCACTAATATCCCCTTTCTGTTCAGGTGCACCTGAATTACTAACAAAATCAAAGAGGTTTTACATAAAAACTCTACCAGGATCTGTTATGTGTTATAAAGCAGCTACAGAAAAATAAAAATGTGACTTGAATGCTTTGAAATATATATTTACTGATGTCACTCAGATTCCTTGAATGATGTGTCAGTTGAGGCAATATAAGTACAACTACATAGATTATGAAATGCATGCAATATAGTCACCGGTGAAGACATAATTTGAAGGTCAGAAGGTTTGCATGGGAGACATTGATATGAACAGGTGTTAAAACACATCCTTAGGAAAATTTACTAGAGTTTCAATTAGGGGCCAAGGATGGGACTTCTGATGAACACTAACCAGCACAATACAGTCCAGGCCCCTTCAGCCCCTACAGCTTGTCCATAAGGATATGATGGTTGATGGTATCGAAAGCAACTGAGACGTCAAGCAGAGCAAGGATGGATGTACTACCCCCATCATATTCCTGCTATATATCATACAACAGGCAACCAGTGCAGTTTCCATCCCATAGCCAGGAAGATGATTGAAAGGGGTCCAGATAATCTGCCTCATCCAGGACTTGCTGAAGCTGTTGCATACCGCCTTTCAATGAAAATTATCCAGTACGGTTGGGTCTAACAATGCTCATGGGGGGGGGGGGTGTATGTGTGAATCAACACCTCTATAAGAAACAGAAAAACAGCCGTTTTATCACTGCTATAATCCAGCCACATATTGCCTAGAAGGCCTTTGGCAGCCAGGAAGGACATGAATCTAGTAAGCAGGTGGTTGAGCTCATAGTCATAAGAGCTCTGTTTCCTAAGGCCCGACAGGTTCAGACTCATATGAGCTGCCCAGAATGGCTCTATGAGGAAGATGGGTGGTTTCTAATTATGGTATCTAAAAATAAATATGTTTAAGTCCTGGGCTGCAGCTACCAATTATAAAGATGATGTTGGAGAGAAGGATCATGGATCATTTGTACTATCAATCTAAATAGCAGGAAATTAAAAAACACTCTTTAAGCAAGGTATTCACTACTATGGAATATAATAATAGACACCAGCTTGGATAGCTTTAAGAAGATATTAGATAGATTCAGGAATAAAGCAGCTGGAGTGCAATGATTAGACAGCAGCGTTGCTTGGTTCATCAGGATGAATATGAGATTGAAATATAATAGCCACTTGTCAAGAAAATGGCAAGAGTGTTCTGTCATTGGTTTAAAATCAGATTGTTTAGTTAATAGCAAAAGGTCAAGATATAATGTTCCAACTTGCTAGAATATTTTTGTTTGGTTTGCTTTTTGTTTTACACAGGACATTTTACTATGATATCTGTTTCCTCAATAGCATTTCTCATGTCATACTTTACTTCAACCATTTCTCATGTCATACTTTACTGTCTCAGCAGACAAACAGCTCATCCAGCTGGCAATTGTGTTGGTAAAAATAGTGACTGTCCCTTCTACCCTGTCCATTGCCATGCCTCTGTCGAATAAGGAGGAACTCTTTCCAAAAAGGAAGGCACCTGCAAGACAAAGGAGATGCCCAAATGC